TTTCAAAAACTAGAGGTTTGAAAAATTATTTTAATTATTTTTGCGTAAATAAATAAAATATATAAATAAATTAAAAACGAGGATAAATAAACCTGTTGTATGAACATGCATAAATTAACAAGTGATTGGGCGTATAAATTATATGTTGCAGCGAATTCATATATATTCGGAAATTTAAATTGTTAATTCCGACTCTATAAAAGAAGGCAAAGTGAAATAAGTATAAATTCTTATATACATATTTGTTAAATAAGATACTTTTTTTTTTTTTGTACTTTAATTTTTGTACACAAATTTATTTCCTTTTTTTTTAAAAAAAAAAATTCACCCTCTTTAAAGCTTTCCTTTTTATTCGAAAATCACAAAAAAAAAAAAATAAAAAAATTCTTTTATTGAATGAAAGAATTTTTTAATAAAGATCAAATTTTCCAATTTTCCAAGTAAAATATGAGTTTTAAAAAAGTAGAAGAAATTATTACAGAACAAAGTAGTAATGAATATTTAAGTCACCATGATACTAATTTGTATCCTACTCTTCATGTAGCAATAAGTCCAAACGGTCAGCAAGTCGCCACTTTTAACACAGGTAAAATTTGTTTTTAAATTACTTTTTTCCAAATAATGTTTTCTTATAATTTTATAATTTCTAATCATTTAATAATAAATAGTTACGCTTGAGTTAAATATGGGCAAAGTTAATTCGTTATCTGAAATAAGTCCAATAAAGTGTGATGCACTTCATGATATTGACACATCCGCTAGATTAGTATGGTCACTAGCAATTTCCAATCCAATTGATCAAGTAGATAATGGAGATGTGCATGCTGAAACATTAATAGCTCTTAGCTGTTTCGATGAAAAAGATATGATGTTAGGAAAATCATTATCGCCAACTGCTTCTTTAACGTATCAACATCAATTAGGAACATCAAGTGGAAAAGATGGGGAAATAGAGTTTCACCATTCATCATATGAAGTTAATGATGAAGAAAAGGCAAGGGAATTGATTAAATCAATGAGTGCAGCTACATGGGTTATTTCAACATGGCGTGAAGTTAGGATATCGACGGAAGTTGATGAATTTGGTGGATTAGTTAGATTTTTAGATGATGATCCATTGGACCCACATACGGCCACAATACTTGTCTTAAATGTTAATGGAATAGCCAAAACGTCATTCAATATGGATAACATTACCATAAAAAAACCTCCAACATACGATGATTATTCTTCATGGTGGGAAAAATTACCAATTTTTCTTCAACCTGCTCCAAGACAAGAATTAATTTTTCCATTAAAGGTTCAAGCTGAACTTAAAAAACTCTATCAAAACACTCCATGTTTAGAATTATTAAGTAGGAGTATAGAAAACGATTATTTCATAATTGAAGATTATAAAGATAGAATGCAGGTGGTGGAAATGTATAACATGAGAACTAATCAATTAGAAATGGTATTTCATCAAAGAGCAGAATCTGTGGCAACTTCATTTGGTCATGGTAGTCCCGCTGTAGCCATTTCAAGACATAAAACATTATTAGCTTACTGTCGTGGTGCTAATTCAATTACTATTTATTTAATGGAAAATTCATTGGAAATTTCTACACAATGTTTTCCTCATATTGAGAGAATCCTTTTATTGGATTTTATAAATGAGGATGAATCACTATTAATTATTGCACAAGAAAAAGAAAATTCCCCCCCTTTGATAATTATTTGGGATTTATTTAGTTATATGGATAATGCTATTAGGGTATTACGAGATACTAAAAAATTATTTCCATTTCAACAATATAGATTAGTAAGAAATTGTGGAACTATTTTATTAATTGATAATTCGGATGGAAGTGTTATACCTATATTAAATGATCCTTTTATCAAAAATATACTTGTTCCGTCTTTTATATCGAAGAGAGAATTGATAGAACTTCGTTTACAATATCTTCATGATTCTGAGTGGGATCAAGCTGTTTGTCATACTATTTTTAATCAAAATGGAGAATATTTTGATGCTGACTCCGAATTAGAAAAAAGTTCTATTATAGTAAACGATATGGAACCTTGGGTACATAATAAAGACTATGGTCGTATCTCTGCTTTTCTGGATGATGAAAAAACAACTCAATTATTCATCGGGGAAACGACCTTACAAGTATGGTATAGAAAAAATAAGAGGTCAAAGAAAAGACTTAAATATATTTGGGTTATTCCAACGAAAGGTATATTAATAATTAAATCATTGGAAATAGGAAAACGTGAATTTAAAGTTACTCTGTCTTCACAGTCAACTCAATCTTATCGGGAGAATAATGTAGTTATCCACTGGCCATTTAAAAGAAATACTGTTGACGATGCTTGTTCTGCTCTCCGTTATTTATATGAGAAGAGAGATGATCCTGCCGGTCCAAAGAAACAGCAGCATTATGAAAATTTGGTTCATAAAATCGAAACATCGATTAGAAAATTTATTTTGAAACGCCCTGTCATATGGAGGTTAATCGATGTTAGATATAATGTGATGGCTAGTCTTGTATATGGTCGTCGTATAAACCTAGTGCAGCAAATCCTAAATACGAAAGATTCAGATTTTTCAATGCGTTATCTTCATACTCCACGTCTTTACGAATGGCCAAAAAAACCAAAAAAAAGTGATTTGGAAATTGCGATAAAATGTAGTGAAGGAAGACAGAGAGATGTCGTGATGATTGGTTTCTTTTTGGATTACTATTCTGATAATG